ACTGTACACCCCACACTTTACACTTTACACTCCACACTCTACACTCCGCACTCTACACTTTACACTTCACACTTAACACTCTACACTTCACACTCCAACCCTTTACAGCCCGAGAGTTGGTGAAGAATCCGAAAGCTTGATGCCTAGGGTTCCTCAAAATCTTTTGTTTAAATGCAGACAAATTTCCACTGCAATAGGTCGAGGGCCCCTCAAATTTCTTAGAGCGTTCTTAGTTATGTATTGTTTGCATCTACGCAATTTGGAGCGAGCTAAAGCGAGGTAACAAGGTGGAGTTGGCTGATTTGACAAGAGACATACGGAGAAAAAAAGGCCGGAAGAATTGTTTTTTTCTGCAAAGCCGGGCTTGTCTGAGTTTCATAAGAGCAGCGCAGAAAAAGCAATTTTTTAGAGCCTGATTTTTTTTTTTGAAATCCGGGCTTGCCTGAGTTTCACAAGAGCAGTGCCGAAAAAATATATTTTTAAAGCCTAAAAATTGTTTTCCGCAGCTGCAACCCAGGCTAAACCCCAGCCCTTTGCAGCCAGGGCAAAGAGAGAGAATCAGAAAGCAAAATACTTTAAAGGCAAGGGTCTTGTAGCACAATGGTCAGAGTGTCGGACTTCACGCTTGAAGATCTGAGGTTCAAGTCCCGGGCGGCGTATGCTTTGGGCATCTAAAAGGTTCTGCCAATATGTCCTTTTCTTGGTTTCCTGAAAAAATGTTTTTTCTGCAAAGCCTACATTTTCTTCAAGTTAATCCCTTCCCCCTAATATTAAACATCCTTCAAATAATAAGCACTTCAGGTAGAAACATTTTTAGGGAACCCTAATAAATTAAGACCCTTTTAGAAAAGAATAATAATTTCAAGATCAATTCAGTTTCCTGTTTTAAAGACATGAAAATATTGCCAAAAATTGGATTTCGAAGCGGACCCTGATAATGAATTTAAACCCATAATAAAACAATCTTTTTCGATTTCAAGATCATTTCAATTTCCTTTTATAACGCAATTAATATATTGGTAAAAATTGGATTTCGAAGCGGACCCCAATAATAGATTTAAATCCTTAATATTTTTCGTTTTATAACGCAAGTAAAATATTGCCGAAAATTGGATTTGGAAGCGGACCCTAATAATAAATATAAATCCTTAATTAAAAAATCTCTTTTTTTCTTGATTTCAAGATCAATTCAATTTCCTTTTATGACGCAATTAAAATATTGCCGAAAATTGGATTTCGAAGTGGACCCTAAAAATAAACACCCCGGGGTTAACTAGCTTTTATTATTAGGGGCGAAACCCACAAATGGTAGCTTTTTTTGGCAATTGTTTTCTAAAGGGAATCAATTCTAAAAAGTCAAATTAGCCAACCTGAAATTTTCCAAAATTAGAAATGGGGGGTCTAGTAATAGGGGCAAGGGATGATTGGGGAAAACAATGTTTCAGGTTCCCAAGTCTATCCATATATAGATTTTGAGTGGGTTGGAAGCAGTCGAAGCATGCGCCAAAACAATTTTTCGGAGCTTTAAAAATGGGTTTTTCTGCAAAGCCCGATTTCATGCACAAAAGGGGGCGCAATACAAAAAAAAATGAACCGCAAAGGGAAATTGCAAACCTCACGTATAAGCAGTAATTGAAGAATTTGGCAATCCTATTCCAGGGTCCCTCAAATTCTTAATGTATTTTGTGCTGGGTATAGCTGAATATATGTAACCCACCTTGGATTCGAGCCCCTCAAATTCTTATACAGTGATTTCTTCTACAACACTCAAACTGTACACTTTACACTCCCCACACCCCATTCTACACTCTACACTTTACAATCCACACTCTGCACTCCAGACTTTACACTCTGTTCCTTACACTCTACACTTTACACTCCACACTTTACACTTCAGACTTTAGACTCTACACTGTACACTCCGCACTTTACACCCCACACTTCACATTTTACACTCTGCACGTTACTTTGCCAACTCTACACTCCACACTTTGCACTTTACACTCCGCACTCCACACTCCACTCTTTACACTCCAACTTTACGCGTAAGACTTTACACACCGCACTTTACACATGATACTCCACACTTTTCACTCACTCCACAATTTACACTCCCCACTTTACACTCTACACTTTACACTCCCCACTCTACAATCCCCTCTTCACACTGCATTCCCACTCAGCACTGCACTTTCTTCACGCTCCACGCTTTGCACTCCACCCCCTTCCACATTCCACAGTGTCTACAGTGGACTGGCTCGGTAACAGGGGAAAAATGTAGAAGACCGTTCAAATAACTGTGCGCAAAGCTGTTTTACGTGACTGCATTCGGATTCGTGGGCGGTAAGTGCCTCGGTTGTACACGCGAAACCCGACTCGGTCGTACACGTGAGAAAACAAATCAGTTATGCACGCAGATAATGATGATGATGGTGATGATGGTGATGATGGCGATGATGGTGATGATGGTGATGATTGGTGATGATGATGATGATGATGATGATGGTGATGGTGATGATGATTATGGTGATGATGATGGTGGGTAGCGGTTGTGTCCCTATAATGAAGTTGACTAGCCCCACCCAACCCCCCAAGGCTGTGTGTATAACTGAGTCAAATTTGTGTGTACACCTGAGTCAAAATCCTGTGTGCGCAACTGGGTCAATTTTGTGTGGCCAGTGAGGCGCTTACCTTCGTGGACTGCTTCTCGTATTTTTTCTGAATGTAAATCAAAAAATAGTCAAAGCGTATTTGGCTATGGTTCACACATAGTAAACCATACCAAATACGTTTGTCAGAAAACCATCTGGTTATGGATAAATGATGATCAATGCTTGGTTTGCTTGTGGAACGATACAACCCCCACAGTTTTTTATGCAAAACAGTTTGAAAATCTGGACCAGGTGGCCATGCATGCAGAACTGAGAGACATTGACGCGACCCTTGGAATTTCTAGGTGGCAGCCAGTGGAACTGGTGATGCCATGGTCAAGTTACATGAGTTGCTGTCTGAAGGAGATAGCCATTTCCCAAGAAAAGGTGCCCCGTAGTTAGCTAACTTGGTTTACAACTTCAATTTCTCCTGTCTTTGGCAGACATACTAAAACTCATTGAGTTTTAGCCGCCTTATGGCTAGGGGATCACCTTGGGCATAGTAGGAGTCAATAACGCCGATCACTTAGGGAAGGCCATTGATCATTTTGGATGACCAGGGCCGTTTGATCCCATGCAACTTCACACATACGGTTTGAACCGGAGCATCTACCCAACAATGACAATAAATAAAAAATACATCTGTATACACATATATATATATATAATTGAAAACTAGGGGGAAGAACTGAGTTAGTCTTGTCAAACTGACATCCAAATGATCAAATTGATAAACAGTGAAATTACATGCGTACGAGAAATAAAAAGGGGCAAACAGGAAAAACCAACTATAGTGTTTGCTGGTCATTGTTGTCATAGTTTCCTCGTATAGTTTTTTATCAGCTGAACCAACCCTAGCCAACCCATGAAACAGCCTTACGTGTCTCCAAGTGGTTGGTAACTAGGTTACACATGTATAGATTCAAAGCCTCGATTATTTCTTCGCATTCAAGTAAGTGGCAACGTTCGTGGTCCAAAACCAAGAAAGCAGTTTTTGCAACATAGTGTTTGCCGACTCATTGACAATTTTGAATGATCTGTCTGCTGGTCAGGATGATACGGAGCACAAGAGCAAATCAGTACATCCGAAAAAGATCACCAGGTTATTATATAATACTAATACTAGCATCACCAAGCAGTTTCTCACCCATGCAAAACCTCCTGATTGCAGATTTTGTGGGCACTGTTGGTGGCTGCTGCAGCAGCAGTCCAACAGTCTAATAGCATTTCACCTGCTATGCAAGCCTTATACAATACTGTTCCTGCAGGGCACAGACAAAAGGCATACCAAAGCTGCAGTTATTGATTTCTGGTGTCCACTTGTTCTGCTTTATGAAGTCGCCGCGTTCGCATTTAGTTGATTGTAAGCATGCAAGTTCAAAACATTTGTATGTGAGTCAAACAGGCCACTTAGAAGATCTGGTTGTTGCTAATGTGTTAGCTTTTTTGTGAGTGGCTTAGTAAAGGTATGTTAAATGCATGTTAGTATCATGCTAGCATGCAGCTAACATAGTATAGTTTTTCTATTTTCCCTACTATGTTAGCAAAGCTCTAGTTAAAAGTTAGGTAACTATGTTAAAAAACATAATTAAGTTAACTCAAGTTAATTTCCCTAACTCTTTTTCAGCTAACTTTCCTAACTAAGTTAACCTTTTAGCCCCAGAGTTAGAAAAGTTAGCTAGTATGATATTTTTGTGTTTTTCCCTTAGTTTTTAGTTTAACATATAACTTGGCTATGTACAACATACATACAGCAAAGGACTATGAAAAACTGTCTGGTACACAAGTTGATGGGTTTTGTCTTTTTTACAAACCAAAAAAGAACAGCAGAAGTTGCGGCACACAGAACAAGGAAGGAAAGAAACAATATATTTTTCCTTGCTGAACTCGGTTTTTCTTTATTTTTTAATCCATAGAAAATGTTTTTTGTTTTCCAAAAATGTGATGTTTGTTTGCAAGTTCTGCGCCAAAGGTGTTTCACTTATGAACAGACTGCTGCATGACCCTTGTTTGCAAAAAGTATGTAGCCATTGCAGGCTGGCCTTGCACAAGAAAGCCATCACAGGCTCAAAGAAATAGCCTTTCCAGGCTCAACAGTTTAGCTTTCCCAGGCTATAGACCCATGGTGCTTGAGCAAGCAATTTGGCAATCTGCCACACCAGTGTTCTACAGCTTGGCTTAGTGTAGAATGTTGGAACCAAACGCATGGCGAGAGAAACTATGGATAGCCAGGTGCACAGCAACAACAGCAGCAGCAACAACAACAACACCAACACATGACACAAGCAGGTTTGTTGACAATTCCACAAGCAAAGAAGTGCTACCTCTGGCTTGTCAACCATAGAAGCCATGGCATGCACCAACTGGAAACAGGAAGTGGAAAGGGTGATGGAGGTGGATTCCCCAATCACCACAAAAGCTGAAGGAGTTCTCAAAGTCTTGGAGGAGCACAAGATGTTGTACAAGTTGAAGTTGGTGCCATCCCAGCTCCTTGTCCATCCCCAGAACAGATCTGGTGGTTTGCTGAATGTGGCAGACATGCATGCAAAAGGAGCTGCAATGCATTCCATTGGCTTTTCCTTCAAGAAGCTATCAGAATCCATTGCCTTTGAGATTCCTATCTCTAAAAAAGATTTGGTGTTCAAGGCAAACCAGTCCTTGAGTGATTTGAACAGCAATATGGTGGCCAGGCCTTCTGGTACCGAAAGGTATGCTTCAATTTCAACAAGCCATACCACTGCATTCCTGAAGTCAGTGCAGCAAGGTTGCAGAACTCCTGAAGAAGAGCTTTCTCACAATGGCTTCTTGAATTTTGAGTCCATGTGCGGCAAGGGTGGTGATTTGAGGAAAATGGTGGAAGAAGGCTGGACATGGTCAATTATTTCTCCAGAAGTGGAGGAGAAATTGTCAGGCTTGCCTGGCTTTCTGCAACAAGCACTCAATAGCCACTCAGCTTGAATGGTGTTTTGCATTGGCCACCATGTCACCTGATTTTGTTCTTTTGCTGGCACTAAGGTGAGCACAGTGTCAAATCTGGTGCTAATGAATTGGAAGTAGCAGCCACAATAGCTGCTGCCTTTGAGCAACAAGAAAGTTCAAGCAAGGATTTGAAGAAAGCCCAGGCCACCGCTTTGGCAAGCAGGCCATCTTGCTCTGATTACATCAACAGTGTAACACAGTTTGTGAAACAGTTCTCAGGAGGAGAAAAGTTTCCATTGCTGAAGCTCTTGCAAAGCATCAGCCCCTCAGTTGCATTTTGGCTTCTATAGCTTAGCCTTTACAGGCTTTGTGGCAACCCAAACACAAAGCCATAACAGGCTGGCTGAGACAAAATGGGTTGGTATGTTTTTCTTTTCACCCTGCAGGCAAGCAATTTGCTGGCACTGCTCTTCTTGGGCAAGAATTCATGGAGCTTCTGGCTTTCACTGATTTCAAGAACAAGCAGAGCACCATGCCTTGGACTCGAATGTCTTTGGCTACTTGCCAAATGTGCTCACCAAAGGCTTACATCAAGGATGGTGTCAGCAGATTCATCACACCTTCTGACTTTACCAAGTTGAAACAGAAAGCCATGCTGGACAAGGTCAAGCAGGCTGAGGAGTTGCTGGGGAAAGGCTATGAGCTTTTGCAAGCATCTCCACTGACATTGGACCAGCAGGCACACCCCATGGCCAGGTACCTCACCAGACTTGGCTTGTTTCTCTTGAACAAAGAAAGCAAAGGGCAGGAAGGGAAAGAATATACAAGCTTGGCCAACATCACTGATGCTTTCACTGCTGAATGCTTTGAAATGAAGCAACATGGACATTTGAATGCAAGGCAAGCAGAGCTTGCTGAGGAAAGTGATGACAAGGAAATGCCAGAAGCCCTGGAAAGTTGCCAAGATCCTATCCAAATTGCTTGCAAGATGTTCAAATTGAAGGTGGGGAGCCATTACACCCACAATGGCCAAGTCATGAAGCTCACCAAGGTTGAAAAGAATTCAGCCACCTTGGTCTACACCCCCTTCTTTGGCTCTGCAGTGGACCACACCCTGACCCATGATGATTTGAAAGGCATCAAGCCTTTCACAAGGCCAGTACCTCATTTGCACTCTGCTGCAGATATTGCTGCTCTCTACCCCAGTAATGCAATGGTCAAGGAGATTGCCAGGGCCAAGGCCCAGCATTTGCTGCATGAAAAATACCTGCAGTGCCTTGGCTGCCATTCAGTGTTTTGTTGCCCAACCTTTTTCTTGGGTGGTGCATTGGTTGCACACCCAGCACACTACTGCAGGACTGGAGAATTTGATGTGGTTGTGTCCAGCATGGGGCATTTGTTTGCCAATGCAGATTTCAAGAAGGGTGAGCTGACTTTGCTGCCCTTTGGGAATGTGGCTGTGGTGGCCAAGGAGAAAGTGGCCAAGACTTCAGTGGTCCTGTTTTTGGCTGGGTGGCGACAAGAAGATCAGCTTGTGGTGAGCCATACCAAGTGCAATTTTGAGAAGGCCACTGGCTGCTGGTCACCTTTCTTCTGGTGCAAGGAGAGCAAGGATGACAAAGAGGAAAAGCCCAACATGACAAAGGCAACTGTGAAGTATGATGAGCTGACCATGCCTTGCATCAAGAACAAAGAAAAGCTGACCAAAGGGACAGCTTTGTTTTTGGAGCCCACAGAGGAATCCAAGAAAGCAAGGAAGAAATGACACTTCAGCATGAAGCAGTGGGAAAAAAGATCAAGCCATCACAGGCTTTTCACTTTGGCCCCAACAAACCCTTGGAAAGCTGAAGCTGCAGGGTGTCCTACTGAATTCAAAAGACTTGCACACATGCTTTGCTGCCATTTGAGCTCTAAGTAGCTGTGCACACACTGTTTCCACCAGAATGACAACCATTCTGAAAAGGGTTTCTTTGCAACGGGCTGGCATGGACCCAAGCCTGGTGCCTACCAACTTGTTGGTGAAAGATTCTGGTGGGCAGGAATATTTGAAGGTGCAGCCATCACACCCAATGATTGTCAAGCTGGTATGCAAAGATGGGGAAGAAATTTTCCAGAAGACCAAGAATGCCAGCCTGTCTGGTTCTGAACAGCTGAAAAAGCTGAAGGCACAACTGCAGTCTGTCATCCATAAGGAACTGGACAGCTATGAAGCAAATCAGGACCAGCCTTTGTTTGGAGATGGCCAACAACCTGCCAACAAATCAAAGGGCAAATTCATCATGGCAAAGGCATCCCAATGCTTTGAGACTGTAGTCCTGGATGTGGAGGGCACTAATGTGGTCTGCCTGGTTCCACCCAATGACAAGTTCCAGGAAATCATGATTCAGTTAAATGAAGACATGCTGGAAGCTGTTTTCAACTTTTTGGCCAAGGACTGCAAAAGCACCTTGGAGAACATGGCCAAGAGAGGTTATAAGAGGAAGCAGGTGGGTGGTGAAGACTAGCTGGCTGGTTTGAATTTCTAAACCAAAGATTGCAATGGCAGGTGCTGCTGGAAAAAAAAAAAACTTTTGTACTTGTAGCCCTACCAGGCTCCTGTGTCCAATAGCCTTTGGAGGCTCAAAGTTTGTCCCATGTTGTGAAGCTATTCTAGGCTATCAAAAAGTAGCTAGGCCATTACAGGCAAACATAGGAAACTAGCCTACACTAGCTGAAAAAAGCCATTACAGGCTATAGAAATCAACAGCCATTCCAGGCTATGAAAACAATTTCTGCCACTGCAGGCTATAGAATGTAGAGACTAGCCAACCTAGGCTGCACCAAGCTTTCACAGGCTCATGTCTTTGTGTTTGTGGTTTGGCCAGTGTTTTTTTAAAGGTTTCTTGCACAACAGCATGGTGGGCTCCAGCATGTCACCCAGCTTGTAGATAAGCAACATGCTGCCATGTAGAAGCAAGTTCATAAAGTAGGAAACAAACCTAAATCTTTCATATTCAACAGTGATGTAGCAACAAGTTTTAATAGGTCATGCCAAAATGAAAATGCATTTTCATTTTAAAGTGTTTCAATTCCAGCCCTGGTAGCCTTAGCCATGCCCAAGAAAGATAGGAAAAAGTCAAGGAAGGAGGCAAAGTCAGAGAGTGAGACGCGCTCATCTAGTGTGGACTTTGAGGAGTGGGCTCAGGACTTGACTGTCCAATGGGAGGAGCATTTGAAGAAGGAGAAGGACAGGTACAAGAAAGTGTTTTTTGTTGTTTGTTTTTGACTTTTGAAGTATCAGGTGTATATAATATATATATATGTATAGATATAGATATTACTCTAAATGATACTGTGTCAAATGCTGATATGTATTTAACTAATACCCCTATCCATTGTCATATCATGATGACTTTGTTTGAAAGAAAGGAAATTTGAAAACACCACTGCATGCCAGGAAAAAGGTTTGCCCATACCTGCTGAAGTTCCAGCTGATGCCACTGGAGCCCTGTTTGAAGTAGCTGCTGCTATGGCTATGGCAGAACCCGTTGGAGTAGTGCCTGCAGACCCAGCTGAGCCCCCTGCAATCAAAGCTGCAACCCCAAAGGCAAAGACATCTGTGAAGAGGAAAGAAGAAAATGAAGAGTTTGTTTGGGTGGTGGAGGACTGAATATCTATCCCCTTTTGTTGTTGAAAATCATGTTCAATGTGTTCTTGAAATTAAATGATAACTTCAACAAGTTTGTTGCATAGGAGCCCCCACCAAAGAAGAAGGCAAAGCTTCCTATGGGCCCTTGGAGCAAGCAAAAAACAGTGGAAGTCAAGGTGGAGACAAAGGAGGAGGATGATCCTGATCTGAATGAGAAGCTAGCTCAGGCTCTCAGGAACCATGTGCCTTTGCATAAGTTCTATCATAATTTTCCTTTGCATTTTGGGGTATGGTTTCTTTAAAGTAAGGGTTTTGTTTTTTGCTGGGTTTGCAAGACTGTTTCCAGTTGAAACCAACACAGCCTCTTCAACATATTTGGCATGGTAACCTTGTTAAACTTTTAAGCCAATACAGGCTGCTCAATATATTCTAGTTGTATGATATGCCAGGCAGCAGCAGCTGCAGCACCTACAAGTTCCAGCCACAGTGGCGATTCATCTGGCAGGCATGATGTCTTTGGGATGTCCTATGCAGCATGTGTGCCTTGGAATGAAGTATGTCTGTTTTTGTGTTACCCTAATCTTGTTAAAAAGTTGGATCCCCTGTGGGTTTATATACATTTTAGTTGACTCTGGTGTGACATATTCATTCTCAGGCTGGTGCTGGTGATCATGGAGATATTCCAGAGAGAAAGCCTGCAGTTCCAGAACCTGCAAACCCTCCCAGGCATGCAGCTGCATCCAAAACAACCCCTACATGGAATGATGAGTGGCAAAGCTGGTATGAGCAAACCCAGTCCCAAGCAGCCCATCAGTTTCAAAGGCAGCTGGAAAACCAGGACAAGTACTACTGGTGGGATGCACAAGGGAAGGTACATGTCTGGAGGAAAGTTACCTGGTAATTTCATCCATATTTTCACATGGGTTCTTGTGTAACATACCACCTAAAATATCTATGTAGTTATATTTACTTTTGATTTGCTGTGAACTGAGGCTCAGAAAGGAAGAACCGGAAATATGAACAAGCTGGTGGTAATCTTGGCTTTGTATTTGACTGGCAACTGGTCCTTTCTCAACCAGGAGTTAGATCAGTATTCATCCCTTCATGCCCTACAAGTTCCATTGCAGACCTTGATGAGTGTTATTTTGGCCAAAGGCCCTGCAAGAGCCCTGGAGGAATTCAAAAGAAATTCCGACCAGTTCCACTAGAATACAAGAGTGTGTGGAAAAAAGAATAGTTTCAGCCAATACAGGCTTTATTAGAAACATTAGCCTTTGAAGGCTAGGTGATATGAATCAAAATAAAATTCTGTAAGCAAACAGCCTTTGAAGGCTCAATATCCACAGCCTTTGAAGGCTCATCATCCAAAGCCTTTTAAGGCTACCAAGTAAAGCTTTTGAACACTAATTATACTATGGACTTGAAAATTAATTTAAAAAGAAGGCCTAAACCTCAATCTAGCCAAAAAAAGGATACGATTCCACTTCCCAAATTTGAATTTAGCCAATAAATTCAAAATTCAAATTCCCAAATTTGAATTTAGCCACTAAATTCAAAATTCAAATTCCCAAATTTGAATTTAGCCACTAAATTCAAAATTCAATTTCCCAAATTTGAATTTAGCCAATAAATTCAAAATTCAAATTCCCAAATTTGAATTTAGCCAATAAATTCAAAATTCAAATCCCCAAATTTGCATTTAGCTATTAAATTCAAAATTCAAATCCCAAAAATTGAATTTAGCAACTAAAGTCAAAAAAATCAACCCAAAGCAAATCTCAAAGCAAAATGGTCAAAATTATTTTTTTTGAAATATTTTTCTTGGACTTATTTTACATAGGTAGGAAAAACAAAAATACTATTTGTGTGAAGAAAATGTTTATCTCATTTACTTCTAATTCATTTTGGCTCATTTTATTCATACAAACTTGGAATTTCATTTTTTGTTGAAATGTATTTCAATGGGTAGCCATTTCAGTTCAAATATCAACCAAAAAGAAAATATGGCCAATTAAGCAAAAAATGTATATCTGTATATAGATATATACCTGCATACAAAAGTTGAATGTATTTTTATTTGAAGAGTGAGAAACATATGTGTTTTCAACCAGCAATTTGGGCTCAATCATGAGCGACACTATTGTGGAGATTGAGGACACTTGGGGATGGAGAATCCTGATGTGGAAATCTGGTTGGAGAACCTGGCTACTTGGTTTATATTGATCAGTCTTTTCCTGGTAAACAATTTTGTTCAAAATGCATGGTATGTCATTGTCAAGATTGCATCTAAGGTTGCAGGCTACTTTGCTTAACCAGGATGTTAAGATGACTGACTGGATCTTTGAAGATGGGAAGGAGGTCAGGTGGGTAACAATGATGAATGGTGAGGAGCACTTGTACCTTGACTGTCATGATTGGATATGTGTTTTCAAAAAATGTTTCCATCAGGATTTGTTTTCATACTCCTATTTGTTTTTCCTTTTCAATGGTCACTTCAATGATCTACTTCAGGTGGCCCAGGGATGACCTGGAAGAAATGCAGAGAAACCGCAGTGCTATTCCACTTGTGTACTACACAGCCTTTGGATAGGAATGAGCCTAAAAGGCAACTACCCACTATAGTGGAATGAGAAGCGATGAGTTTGTGAGTACAAAAAGTGCTAGAATAACCTTGACAGGTTTGTTTTGCTCGTGTAGTAGCCAATACAGGCTGTGGAACTCAACCTAGGCAAAGTAGGCTTTGGAACAATAAAAGCCAAAAAAGGCTTTGACAATTAACCTGATGCAAATGAATGTACAAATATATATATATATAC